GAAATACCTAATCGTTTACCAGATTTTTTATCTCTTTTGAAGGGATAATGGCCACAGTTTATCATGCCCAACAAAATACTCTAAGTTGATAATTATATTCCACCTCATGTGAAAGATATGAGTTTTTTCTAAGGAGGGTATATCTTGTGACATCTGCCACTGTCTATCGAGCCTGGCATGCCCGGGCCAATTAGCCACCCCAGGGGGCAACCCCTGTATGTTGTTGTTGTTGTCCTGCCTGAGCAAACCGGTGGCACCGGGAACTGAAGAAGGACTGTTTGAACGGACAAAATATACGAAAAAAATGTGAAATAATAACACAAATGTGTTGAAAAGTGATAGTAACTGCTAATAACACCAAAATTTAGTATAATTAGAATATTTCAATTTTTTGTCGCAAAAAACTACATAGAGTGCCTTTAACGAGGTGCAAGACATTCTCGTAGTATCATATAGGAATTTTGACGATCTCAAATTCCCTATTACCTCCACGCACCTTTTCATCTACTACGTAGTACAATAGCGTATTTTCACCTTCACGAACGTTCAGCCAGCTGTGCGGGTATTGTATCTCGACGAGTCCGACCTCCCACTCGCCCGAAAGTTCTATGGGGTGAGCCAGTTTGGTCCGGTAGTTTGTGACGGTATTTTCTGGAAAGATATCCATACTACCGTCGCTGGGGAGCGTGACGTAAAACGAGTTGACCATGGCGATGTACGTCTCTGCAATGTTCGACGTGTCGAGCGTGCGTCGGTATTTATCATATCGGAACCATGTCCTCTTCCCTCACCCAACTGTTAAACTTGTTGGGGTATCCTTTCCATTTGACAAAATGTTCAGTCTTCTTACCGCGTCGTCTCGTGTCTAGAATTTTCTCCACCTGATAGACCTCGTCGTCGTCTTTCTTGGTTACCTTCTGTAACTCCTCCTCGTAAAACGTTCCCTTTAATTCTTCCCCGTCGTAATCTGTGACTCGATAAACTGGAGGGCTACGGGCGATTCGTTTCGAAATGGTAAAAATTTCAGTGCTCCACCCTGCAGTGTAGCCCTTTTCCGTAAACATCTTAGTCTTGCTTATCCTGACGGAATCGCCCACGTTATATTTGAATGATGGTCTTTTCTTCTTTTTCTTTTCTGACGTACCGTACAACGTGTGCCACACGAGCCGTTGGTTCTTTTTGGTTACTTCTACTGGTGCCTTTTTAATGCTGCGGTGGTATGAATGGTTGTATGCATCCAAAAGATTGTCTAAGACGTCTATGTACCTATGGGTGTTATTGGCTGTGAAATATTTCCACATGCGAATTTTCAGAGTACGGTTAAACCTCTCGACGACGCTTGCCTTCGTCTCGGCGATGAACGTTGTGAATAATTCGATGTCCTCGTTCTTTAAGAGGGTCTGGAAGTGTCGATTCAGGAATTCCGTACCTTGATCCGTCTGCAACCGCCAGGGTTTCCTACCCTCATCAAGAATGGACTGAAAGGCTTCAACCAGCGTCAAACCTTTCTTGTCCTTGATCGGAACGGCCCAGGCAAACTTTGATAACACGTCGATACACGTCAGTAGGTAACGATATCCGTCGTTGTGCTTAGCCAACGATGACAAGTCGGCAAGATCAGCCTGCCACTGGTGGTTCAGGCCGGAAACGACCACGCGACCTCTTTTAAACTGACGTCTGATGGGTTTATGAAGAGTGTAAGTGTCTTGTGAACGCAACCAGTCCTTCACTTGTTGTCGCGTGATTCCGTACTTGGAACCGACTGCTTGATGGAGCCGTCCAACTCCACCAAACCCTGCAGGGTTTCCAGGATCATAGTAGACGTTTCGGAGGATTTCGTCGGTGACGTCTGCATTCTTCTTCTTCTTTTCGACAGGTTTGGATCGTTGCTCTTTACCCCTCGCTTTCCTACGATTCGCGGAAACCATCCCAGTCCCTTGATGAAGACGAACATTCGTCCCCCTGCACACATGAAGGCGCACTGGATTCGCTCCACTGTCTTCCAAAAGACCTCTCTTATCCCATGAACGTTTGGTAGACACTCCATATGTGATGCTGACGGTAACGGCACCACTCTCACAATGACACTACACACGATACAGAGGTACCTTTATAGCGACGCTCTTCCGTTTTTCTGACGTCGTTAGCGGGCAGATGAAAGCAGTCTTTACAGAGACGATGGACGAACCAACAAGGCAGTCGACGTCTACACCAAAGACACTGTTGTTCTTTTCTTGCACTAAGGTAATTTTCTTTCCGTCTGATGATGCAGCGCTCACACTGTTCACTATGTAGCGAGCACAATATCTTACACTGTGTTATACATCTGTTGCAGATTCTGTCTACGCAGTAACACGATGTTGCGCCCTTCTTCCCCGACATGACCGAAGCAACTGAGATATACCAACGCTGTACCTCGTCT